ACACACTCCTGCACGGTCCCTAAGTGGCTACCGTGAACGAATAAAATAAATTAGCAATCAAACAAGGGGTGGATGCCCCATGATGAAGGCCCTGTGCTCATGGAAGAGCTTCCCTGAAGGGCTTCGTGAAAAATCTCCACGCATCTCCAAGGTTGGGCAGTAACCACTCTGAGGTTGCCTTTGCCATCTGATCGTGAATGAAAAAGAAACGAATGTTGAGCCCGAGTTCTTTTGCCCGAACTGCCTTTGCCATTCTCTGCAAGAATGATCGTGCTTTTGTTGTCCTGCATGAGGATGTTGTCCTTCACAACGATCCCCTGCTCTTCAAGGAACAACTTTGCCCACAACATGGGCGACATGACATCGTCAGCTCCAATCAATTCCGCTTCGTGCTGCTTCTGATTATTTCTGTTTCGCGACACAGACAGCACCGCCACTTCCAAAGGACATGACTCCTCCTGTGATACGGTAATCAGGATGGACTGCAAATGATGCATCCACCCACCAAGTGATGATGCGTATGTCATCAATGTGTAGGATCAACTTGTCCTGCGCCGTCTGATCCAAAAACTTGAGGCCTTGGACCAACTTGTCCCAATCATCAGATGTTGGACTTCTGACACGAGTGCATAACACAGTAGTGAGAGTCTGCACATCTGGTCGAGCACGCTTGCACAGGAACAACAGCTTGGCTGCAAAGGTATGATAGGTTTCCCTGTCTTGTCTTCAGGATGGTGCCATCACCAGAGCTGAATAGGTCAGCAGGAGCTGCACTTGGTACCTTTTTCATTGCCCAAAGTCCACTGGAAACTCTGGACCATTTTCTTGACATAATCTATCATGTCAATCACAACCTTTCCTGGTCGGAAAAGTCCACCGTCATTCCCAAGTAGTCATGCTTGGACCACGGGTTGCCTTCACGTCTCCATAGGTTCCTACCTAGCGTTGAACCATTCAAGTTTGGTTTTCACAACTTCATTCTGTGGCTTGACATTAGATCGTCAACATGGAATCGGATTGTTTGTTGGTACCCTCGATCATGCGGTTGCCACACAAGGATCGTATTGGTTGAACACAAATCCAATTTGCTCGAGGTCACTTCTGAATAGCTGGTACCAAAGAAGTGCTGCCAAAACATGCCATAAATGGCTCTCTCCATGACAACATAGAGGACAGGACGTCCCTTTTTGTATGTCAGGAAAGAGGCATATGTGTCAGGATCAATTTCGACAAGTAAATCTGCAAGGGTTCCCTCAATGATCATGAGGACCCTGTCTTCACCTTGTTTGACTTTTGGCATTGGGGTTTGGATGAACGCATTGGGAACATCCAGGGACATCACATCCCTATCTTCAGATGCATCGACACACATGGATAACATCAAACCTCAAGTGAAACTGTTGGGCTTCTGGCATCTTCTTTCTGATGGTACACCTTGTAGGTTTCCCATTGTAGACTGCACGGGCCTTGACCGTGCCATCCCTTTTCTCGTCACAAACATGAGTGGCCATTTGTGCCTTTTTCAATTCAGAATCACTGCATTTGTTTGGGTCGACTGGACTGAAACACACTCTGCTGTGTAGCTGGTCCATCTCTTTGAGCGCCGCCTTTCTGGCTTTGTTGCCCCACACTTTCAAACCCTTGGGTAGAAGATGTTGTTGGCATGGCTGCTCTCATCCTGACTTCTGCTTGCCACTCCTGTGATTACAGGAGTCCATGAACAAACTAGATGTTTGCTTGTCTCTGTTCATACAGTAGTGGGGTGTTTTGCTTCGTCATCTTTGAACGAAGGTGACTCCTTTCTTTGCTCGGCCGTGGCAATCCGAGCTGAGCGTCTAATTCCGACTCGAGGAAGCTTGGAAGCCTTGCTGGTCCAGCGAGGTTTCCATATTGGTATCCACTGCTGGTGCCGTCTCTTCAACTGTAGGGTTGTCTGGACTTGTGCTTGTTGGGATTCCTTGGAATCCCTCCTCTCCTTCTTCATCGGAGTCAATGTCGTGGCATACTGTTTGGATGCTCTTGGTTCTAGCCCTGGGGCGTTCCATCCTCTGAATCTTCATCTGATTCCTTGGATTCCACTGAATCTTCGTCCGATGAGTCTCCATAGACTTGCAGGTAGCTCTCATTTTCCATTGACACCATCCACTCTGCAGGCAAACCTACAGGTAAAAATTCCACAAGGTCACGGTTGTGAAAGATTAGTGGTTTCTTACCCTCAGCCGTATGCCTTCTTTTCGACAGCATCAATGACTGTGCGAGGCATCGGCAGGATGAGGACATGCTGTCGCGTGATCACCTCAAAAGTGACGAGGTCCATCACACTGTGTCCACCTTGGTGTTTGTCCATCAATGGACGGAGATAGGTTCAATCCAATCGCCTGGGCCTCCATGGAATTGAGCTTGTCTGGTTCGTTTGAAGCGAGACAATAGCTCCAAAAAGTGTATTGAATATCTTTGTAGCTGTTGGTCCGACCCTCCAAGATCTGCCTGGGAGGATACACTTTTATAGATTCCATCAAGCGCGGGGTAGAGGTTGAGTTTACAATTAACATCGTAACCCAATTCCACAATCATCAACTTTGGAATCACCATGAACGCAACCTACTCTATCACACTTTATAGTCTCCCGCGGGAGACCAGATCTACGATCCTTTGATGGTGATTAGTTTTCATAGCTTTCTAATCTCACTCATAACTTTCATTCTCTCAAACTCAAAACACTCGAAAGATCTTTACACTAGCTTTTAGCGTACTGCAGTAGCGAGGACAGGGACTGGGTCTCCCGGAGGGCATGAGGTTTTGACGGTATACAAAGCTTTGAAAGCATCAACCACTTTTGTAAAGTCTAATCGGCTGGGTTTCTGAGGCGGGTCTCCCATATGCCGGTACCAGGCTTTGAGCACACCATAGGATGCCTGCAAGTCCTTCGAATGGCCCTCAAGGTGGGCCTGAATTTCTTGGCCAGCAGCTTTGGTGCGTTGCTGTCGATCTCATTTCAGCAGAGAGTTGATTTGTTGTGTGAGGCGTCTGGCTTCGGCTTTGTCGTGGTTTGGATTGCGCCATAGGGAACAGCGTGTGTCCATAACTTTCAGTGTATTGGGAGCAATCCAATTGGGACGCTTCTTGACACTGGGGTAGAACTTGTTCAAATATGGTGTCAGCTTTCCGCAGTGGGCCAAACTTGGCAAGGTTGAGAGGGAATTGTTTGCGACCTTTCAGGTAGCGTTTATGACTCCGGGTGGGCTTGACCAAGTAGCGGGCCATCAGCATGTAATGGTCCGAGGTGTAGTGCCGGGGTTCTTGATGCTGATTGATTCAAAGAGGCGTCGATCGGTGCCCAGAATGTAGTCACAGCGGGATCTGTAGGTAGTGTTGGTATCCGATCGATTGTATTGGAACCATGTTTTCCTGTGGGTGAAGTATAAAATGTTGAAGGAAGTCTTCCATGCCGTATGTAGCTAGAACGGAGTGAACCTGACGGGAGCGATTGGTGGTGAGGTTAGACAGGTCTACATTAAGGTCTTCAAGGAGGATTGGTCTACTGTTGGGGAATCGTTCGAATGCTTTAATTAGGTAGGGCACATCGTCTAAATGTTACGGGGGAAGGTATGTTCCGATGAGTGGGGTATGTTGGGAGCCAGATACAAGGATGCAGGATCATAGAACATTAGGGCCATGTCGGCAGGTAGATTCCACATGCCAATTGTTGGGGGTAGGGTCAGCTTGGACATAGAGGGCAAGGCCACCTTGGTTTTTGTTTGTTGTGTAGGTGCAGAAAATATCGTAGCCACAAGCGTGCCTAGTGTGAACCTCGTTGGGAATTTTGGCTTCAGTGGCGAGGCAGAGGCCAACTTGTTGTTCTTCAAGGTTGCGAGCTAGTAAAGTGAGTTGATTGTTGCGGCCATCTAGCATGTTGTAAGTGGCGAGTTTAAGTCCAGGAGGTTTGTTTGGTTTCCTTTTTCGGTTGGTGCATTGGTTGGATGCTTTTAATGCTTTGGCTCGTCATTGTTGATTGAGTTTTTGCTGGCGGTGGTAACGGGATTTTGTGACCGTTGTAGAACGTTGTTGGCTATAGGAATGTGGCTCGTAGGTTGGGGCTTGATCAAGCAGGGTGGCTTTACTGTTGTACTCTAAATGTGGTTGGGCACACCACTCCGTGGTGGTGGCAGTTGGACTGAAGTTGACTCCTCGGAGGACTCGGATGAATCAAAAAGGCGCAAGGGCGAGTGGCATCGCCCCTTATTTGGCTGCAAGGGAATGGCATTGTGCTGCAGGTTTCGTTGGCGTCGATATGGCTGTAATTGTCGTCTTAGATTGGATCCAGGGAACTGGGGTCGGCTTTGTGGTTGCTGGAGTGGACCAATGTAGGTTGGTCTTTGTGCTGGTTGACTGGCTGGTTGGCTTCGAAGGTGGCTGAAAGAATAGTTCAGTTGCCGGTCCTGTTGGTTAGGAGCTGTTGGTGCATTGGTGTATTACCCATGGTTGTTGGCCTAGCTAGCTAGTTAGCTAGTTAGCTAGTTGCTAGCAGCTTGTGGGTATTTGTCAGGGAAAAAGCTTCAAAGAATTTTGGATGGATTTCCCATGGAGAGCAGATCGGCTGAGGCTGAGGTAGGGAGCGAGTTGAGATCGGCTGAGGCTGAGGTAGGGAGCGAGCGGACGTCCGACTGAATCGGTCAAGAACAGGGAGAACGATTGACTGGTTTAGGACAGCCAGAAGGGGAACAGGAAGAACGTCCAGGCGGTTTGGTAGGGTTTCTACAGAGGAGAAGAGAGGCAATGGCAGAATTGCCGCCGCTGCTCCAGAGGAGCAACAACAAGAGAACAAACTCCAACAAGTGTATCAATGAGATGTCTAGTAGTAGTGGAAGTAGTAACGGTGCGAGATTCTGTCTAGCAATGGCAGTGTATTATACCTGCTCCACTTGCCACGTGGAGGGGCATCCATCCTCGAGGTCGCTGTGCATGCATACAACAACTTGAAGTTTGACAGCCGAGCCGTCTCAACAGAAATCATACAAAGGGTCACAGTACACACTGGGTGTGATTTTCTCCGGGAAACCATCTATTCCAATCAAAAGGACAACTGAAATTTCTGTAAACGGAGTGTCGGTAAAAGAATACAAAACTGTTTGATTGGATGCTGTCAGGGTGACCCATCCAGAGCCAAACAAGCCATCTCCATAGCTGTCTGAAACCAACAGTCTGTAGGTTGCATCTGGTGCAATAGAAAGCATGAAAGAGTACAAGAAGAATGGAGTCTGAATTGCTCCAGCGGACTCTTGCAAAGTTTCCCATTCACCTGTCACATTAGATTCTTGTTGCCAGACCCAATCTGTCTCCAACGGGAATTGGTCTGATTCAATGTTGAGCACTATGTTCTCACCACCTCCATCAGCAATCATTGGCGGGAACCTTCCTGGAAAAGTTGCACTCTCGTATAGGTCAGCACAGGTAGACACCTGGGTCACATTTGCTGTGCAGTCACACCACAGTGCAGAACAAAGGTGCTCTGGGACAGTTCCTGAAAACTGATTTCCATCCAGTCTCAGCCCCACTGATTCATTGAGATGCTGAGGAAGGGTTCCAGTCAAACTATTGTTGTCAAGATAGAGCTTTTGCAAGGATGCCATCGAGCCAACTTCATTGGGGATTGCCCCAGTAAAGCGATTTCCAGAAAGGTCCAGCTCGACCAATGATGACAACAAACCAATCTCAGTTGGCAAGGAACCTGTCAAGAGGTTTGACGGCAGTTGTAGATATTCCAAGCTTGTCAGTGACCAGATCTCAGCAGGAACTTGGCCAGACATCTCATTGGCATCCAACCGAAACTCTTTCAAAGGCACCAAGGCAAGCTCCGATGGAATTGGACCTGTTATGAGATTTGTGGCCGCAGCGAAGACAGTTAGATTGGCCACGGTTCCAAATTCTGTAGCAATCTGTCCTGTCAACAGATTTGTATCCAACCACAGGACATCCAACGTAGTCAAGAGTGCTAGCTCTGGAGCAACTTGGCCCGTTAATTCATTAGTAGCCAACCACAACCAAGTCAAAGCAGTCAACAGCCCAAGCTCTGTTGGGACCTGGCCTGTGATTTGGTTCCACTGCAATCTAATCTGATTCAATCCCAGCAGCTGTCCTAGCTCTGATGGAATCTGTGCAGCTAAATCATTGTTGTAGAGCACTAGACTTGTGAGGGCAGTCAAGAGCCCAAGCTCTGAGGGGATCTGGCCAGAGAGATGATTGAGCTCTAAATTCAGCCTTTCCAAAGCTGTCAAAAGTCCGACCTCTGTAGGCATTCCACCGGACAACTGATTGCTTTTCAGGTTCAGCCATGTCAAGGCAGTCATTTCGTAAACTTCATTTGGGAGCAAAGCATGGATTGATGCAGAAATCTTGTTCCATCCCAGCCCAAGACGAGATAAGGACGTCAAAAGATTTAGTTCGGATGGAACAACTGGGGTAAGACCAGAAAGGTGGAGATCTTCAACCCAAAGACTAGTGTATTCTCCAAGGTGATTGCACGAAGGAGTTGCAATGGAAGAAGAATATTCTGCGTAGACACCATTGATAAAATGGGAAAACCCGCTGGAGAACCACAGACACTCGTCCTTTCTTGGATCCATCCACCTTTCCCTTATTGGTTCAATCCAATTTTCTCCCTCAAAGGAGTAGTAGAAGCATGCCAGAGCAAAGAGTTGTGTCTTCCTCCATTCTGGCAACTGGGTGATGTTTTGGTGATCCAACAGCCAGTCCCTTGCTCGCCACTGGGGTGTCCCAAAAGTTTGCAAGCTCTCCAAAGTGTAATTTGGCAAATCTTCCAGTATGAAATCCAGAACTCCAGTTGGGGCTGAGGAAGGATCTCCAGAAGGTTCCAAAGAACCAAAGGCTGTTGGTGTAGCCGTTCGGATGCTGCTTGTAGTGACGGGATTCTTTCCTTTTCTCGTTCCAGCAACTGTGCCAACAATAATGGCTGCCACTATGCACAACATGGCCAGAAACAAAACGAACAGCTGGCTCTGTCTCTTCCTGTTTCGCTGGTTTTCCTCAACCGTCTGCAAATCCACAAGACTTGCCGGTGGTCTCATTTGGAGCTCGAAATCCTCAGAATCCTCCACAACAAGATTTGCCACTGCTAGCTCCCGACCATCTCTAGCATCATTGCTGTTGTTTGGCGACACCTGTGGCATAGAATCTGTTTGACCCTGAGCTATCTGCAGTTCTTCATTATCATCTGTGTTGGGTGCAGGAGCACCAAGGAGGGAAAATCGAAGGTTGTTGGTCCGCTGCAACGCTTCTCCTGGTGTTCCCATATATGCCCCTGGACAAGGAAGGTGTGGAGTCCCTTGGCAAGTTCCGGATACTAGCTGCCCTGCTCTGGTATCGGGAGAGTTGACTCCACTCTCAGTGGGCCTGCTGCTGCTGCTGCTGATCTTTTCCAGTTTAGCCGCCTCATTGATTTCTGTTGCCATTTGCATGAGAGAGTGGCCATTATCAGCAGACTTGTTGTGGCTGAACTTTTCCAACTTGGCCGCCTCATTGATTTCTGTTGCCATTTGCATGAGGGAGTGGTCACTATCGGCAGACTTGTTGTGACTGAACTTTTCCAACTTGGCCGCCTCATTGATTTCTGTAGCCATTTGCATGAGAGCACGGCCACTATCTGCAGACCTGTTGTGACTAAACTTTTCCAACTTGGCTGCCTCGTTGATTTCTGTTGCCATTTGCAAAAGATTGTGCTCATCTTGTTGTGTATGGCTCGTCTTTCCTTTCAGTGGCAGATCTGAGACGGCCACACTGGCTTGGTCTGCCACAATATTCATGATATCCTCTTGCTGCTGGCTGGTACCCTTGGCTTGTTGTGGGTTGTAATTATCACGATGGCGAGATCGGGTGGCAGATGTAGTGGCACGAGAGGATGTAGCAGCGGGAGAGGATTTCTCGTTGGATACGTTACCTTGGACTGTACTACTATTTAGAATAGCAGTCCTGGTTTCTTCGGCTGGATACTGTACCGCCTTTGGCGCCAGAGATTCTGACTTTTCCATGTGGCCTTTTCTTGGCAAGAAGTCTAGGCAACGTCGTGGTTGACTCTCTCCAGTAGGCGTTGTTGTTGTTCGTTGGTTGCCTCCATGTTCTTGATGTGATTCCTTTCTCGAAGGGGCTGTGCCTTCTTCTTTCCGCTCTTCTTCTGTCATCTGGTCGAATCCAATTGATTGAACTAGTTTGGCCGTTCCAGCAGCGCTATACAAAGCAAACAAGTTATGGCGGAGTGGTGAACGGCTGCAGGCAACCGTGTGCTGTACCGGTAGTGAGATCGTTGTTGAACGAAGAGGTTACTATGTGATCGTTGTTGCGAGCAAGATGAAGGCAAAGATAATAGGGGATTGTGCTCTGCTTTACCAATAATGAGCCTTGGCGCGGTACCACCTTGTGGGTTCGATCTATCAAGGACGCGCGGGAACACAAGAAAACAGGGAACACGTACCGTATGCAATTTTTGAATAGAATCAATTTGGCGGACCACTTGTCTACTGTGCTGCTACCGGGTGCCCTAAACTGATAACATCCACATTGTATCCACTGCTGGTCCGTCTCTTCAACTGTAGGTTGTCTGGACTTGTGCTTGTTGGGATTCCTTGGAATCCCTCTTCTCCTTCTTCATCGGAGTCAATGTCTGTGGCATACTGTTTGGATGCCCTTGGTACTAGCCCTGGGGCGTTCCATCCTCTGAATCTTCATCTGATTCCTTGGATTCCACTGAATCTTCGTCCGAAGAGTCTCCATAGACTTGCAGGTAGCTCTCATTTCATTGACACCATCCACTCTGCAGGCAAACCTACAGGTAAAAATTCCACAAGGTCACGGTTGTGAAAATTAGTGGTTTCTTTCCCTCACCGTATGCCTTCTTTTCGACAGCATCAATGACTGAGCGAGGCATCGGCAGGATGCGGACGCAAAAATACGCGACGAGAATATATTTCTCTTACGTGTATGCCAAAAAGAGATTTCGCTGACATAGAAGTTTTGCTTAACAAAAAAGTTGAAATATGCGAGTATGAATTTCAAAAACATAAGAGTCGAGCTGTAACAAGCAAGAATCTAACTCAAACACGCGAAAATCTAACTAAACGCGCGAGAATCTAGCTTAAAACGCGAGAATCTAGCTCTCATACATAAGAATATAGCTACCTGTATTATGCGATAATGAGCTGCATGACATACGAATACAACTATATTACGCGAAATTTAAGATAACTTTGCAATTCCATATGACATCAAAATTACATTCGTGATAAAGTTACGCTGTGTGGCCAATTAGCAACATTACGCAAATTTTGCACAAATTTTGCACGAAATTTTTGCACGAAATTTTGCACGAAATTTTGCACGACATTTGCACGACATTTTTCGACATTTCCGACATTTTTGCACGACATTTTTGCACGACAATTTTACGCGACATTTTACGCACTTTTTCACGACATTCTTTTTTACACGACATTTTACGCGACTTGTTGACGCGACTTGTTTACGCGACTTGTTTACATGACATTGTTGCACGACGTTTTTGCATGGCGTTTAAGAGAATACTCACAATGATGTATTTCATTATTTAATTAGACAACTTAGCCAGTGGGTATTGGGGTCCCCTTTGGGTATACCCACTGGCGACATGAATGATTTTAATAGATCATTAAATTGTTTTTTAGTTTCTCAATTAAAAATATTTAAAAATTGAGCAAAATTAAAGGATTTATCCTTTTTTATTTTAGATATATTTTAATATTTGTGAATAATATTAGTTTGTAGAAAAACTTGTGTATATAACAGAAAAGTATTTTAATATTACATAAATTAGTTGTATTATTATAATCTATTTATTTTATATATTTATATATTTTGTTACTTTTACTAATTTAATTAGTTTTATTGCCAATAATTACTGAATCATTGTTAAAAAACAGATAACTTGCAGCTGTTTTCTGAAGCCACACTTTAGATTATAGGAATTGCATTTGAGTCTGACATTGTTTTGGATTCGGGCACTGTTAAAATAGACAATGGTTGTAGCAGAGCTAGTAGCAGTGCTGATGATGGCAGCAACGAGGATGGGTCAATCACGAGGCGACCCATGTCCCTTAACTTCATATGTTGACTTTTATTAATATTTCCCTGGCTGTGGGGTCAAATCTCTCTGCCCCCA